ATCGCCCCGCCATAATTAAAAGCTAATCACTATTGAGCACTCTTTCAAAGGGGCCGGCTCGTCCCGTCCGCCGTCCTTCGGCGGCCAGGCGACCGCTTTTCAGGAGCAGAGGAATTTGTGATGCAGCAGCAGAGCAGCCCGTGCCATTCGTTTTGTATTTATTGCTAATTCATTTCTTCCTCCTGCTCTTCTTCTTACTCATCGGCGTGACCACCGCCTTCCGTCTCTTAAAAGCGACTACTCTCTGGCGAGTTTCATCAATGAAACCTCATCATTCCATTTCGGTAGTTAAGAAAGTAGTTGCACTGAAAAAATGATCAGCTGCTTAGGAACTAATAGCTTAATACGGAATAACGAATTATTTTGCTATGTGGATAAAAAAAACTTTTCTCAGCTACACTGTCAAATTTTTACCTACATTGCTAACTTTCTTGCCATGGCTAAATTTTTGGCTACACTGACAAATTTTTAGCCATAGCTCAAATTTTAGCTACAAAGACAACATTTAAAGTGTAGCTGAATATTTTGCGACATAGCTAGGATTTTAGCTGCACACCACACCTAAACAAATTTTAAGTTATCCCGTATTTAGATATTGATTGGACTGTTTTGCCAATATGTTTTTCACCCTGTGTATTTTCTTATGGTAGGCGGAAGCACCCCCCTCGCTCGTGTCGCTCGCTCTGTTTGGCGTCGCGCGGCTTTGACAAGCGGTTCTGCTCGCGCGCGGCTTTGATTGCTCGCGAGCAGTTCGCTTATAGAGGTCTCTCCGCCCCTGACGCGCGCGCGCCGACTGTGTGGTCTTCTATAATGTTTGTGTCCGCGTGAGGTGAGAGGCGGTGTTGGTGGGACACCACCGGCGGCCGGGGGCGCGCGCGTCCCAAAGAATAAGGCGAAAAGCAATAAATCTCTCTGCGGCTGCTAGGCCTTTGCGCGCCGCCGGTGGTGCCCTCCTGACGGCGGTGTCCATGCCGTGTGTCCATGAGCCACCTGTCCCCGCTCAGCTCAGCTCGGCTTGCTCCAGATTGGATGATTGTCGCCCCCGGCCCCGGCCCGGCCCGGCCCGCCTGAGAGGCGTCGCGGCGGGACACACACATGTCGCTAATAACCGCTCTCCGCTTCGCCGCCGTCGTGATGATGGCCCCGCCGTCCTTCTGGCGGACGCACTTGGTGGTGAGGGGCCGTGGCAAAGCGCGGCCGGAATAAGGCGCGATACTTTAGCGCCGCCGCCGCCGCTGCAGCAGCACCAGCGCGCGACCCACTGTGCCACTCTGCATGCATGCGAGTCTCGACCACCACCTCTGGTGAAAAGTAAAAAGGGCAAAGTCCGCGGACTTACGACCTTTACACTTTTCACTAATGCAAAGTCCGCGGACTTGCGCCCTTTTCACTTTTCACCAATGCAAAGTCCGCAGACTTGCGCCCATTTTCACTTTTCACCAGTGAATATGCTTTTAACCTCCCCTTTGCTTTTTGTTGTCGCACAGGTCCAGGACCTGGCGGTCCGCTGCATCCAGCGCAACGTGCGCAAGTTCATGAGCGTGCGCGACTGGCCCTGGTGGCGGCTGCTGGTGCGGGTCACCCCGCTGCTCAACGTGCACCGCACTGAGGAGGAGCTGCGCGCCAAATCGGTAAGGCAAACTGTTTTACAAACTGTTTACATGTTTGTTTGTTTTTAAAAAATACGCAGGAAACCCCAAGTGTGTAAATGTCGCGCTGTTGTGTGTGAACGTCGTTCGTACACAAAGAGCCACAAGTGTGTGTATTCTAGCGGAAAATTCACACTTTTACCCCCTTAGTGTACGAATGAGTATCCACACATCTACCAATGTGTGACATTCACACACTTTCGTGTCCACTGTACATTGCACAATTTTAATCAGAAATTAGTCTATACTGTTTATTTTATTCCACCCTTTTATTGACGTTTATTTTTTCTCTCTCTTTAGGAGGAACTGGAGGCGCTTCGAAGCAAAGTGGACAAACTGGAAGCGGAGCGCACCCAGCTCAAGCACGAGAGTGACCGGCTGGAGGCCAAGGTAAGAAGAAATCCTCTTCGACTCGCCATCATCATCGTTTGCTTCGCGGCGTCCATATGTCTGATCCTCCTGGCCCCACACCACCCTCTCGCCGTGCCGGTTGGGTTGCCTGCCCTCTCGGCGCGCGGCGGTCTCGTCCCACCTGCCGCGGGAAGGGCTTACGGCTTACGGCGCGCGCCGGGACCGCGGGGCCGCCGTCGATCGTTTCGGCCGGGAGCGTGTCGGCGGCATGACGACGCGACTCCGGTGATCAACGACGTCAAGCCGTGTTTGTCCTTTTCCTCCTCGGCCCGGCTCCCGCCACTTGTAATGTTTGCTCTCTACACATCCTCGTTGGGCGAGTACCAGCTCATAGGCGTCGTCCCCCTGTTGCAGCGCACTCCCTCCATCTCCCTCTCTCCCTCTCTCTCTCCCTCTTCTTTCCCCTTTCACTCTCGCTGGCGCGCCGTCCGTCTTTGCCGTCGTGGTGCCTGTTGAGCTGTCATTCAGTGCTTTGGTGTACAGTGCACTGTACCGAGAGTAACGGGCTGTGTTGGACGGCCGCCAGTGCGGGTGCCGGCGCGGCCCGAGGCTTCGCGTCCATAGGTCGGGCAGCAGCCATTCTCACCCTACGGCCCGCGTCCGCCGCCCACCCCGATGGCACCCTTCCCCACGGAAGACGTCCCTTCGAAAGAAAACGTCTTTCCTGAAGGAAGACACCCGCCTGTAGGAATACTCTTCGTCCTGACAACCTCCCCAATACAACCGATACACCCTCCCACTCAACACTTTTCCGCAAGACATCCTTCCCCAAAACAACCCGGCCCCCAAAACACCCTACCTCCCCTACCTACACCTACACCCTTCCCCCAACAAGGGCATCTTCTCGAGGCACTGTCCCTCCCCTCATTCACTCTTCTCCCGGACATACTCCACTCCTGGCTCCATTATCCCATGGAGTGAGTGGGAGTACCCCATGCTCCATTCGGATGACCCCTGTTCATGCTCCGCACCGGACATCCGGTCGTGTCTCGGACAGGGCAGGGCAGATCAGAGCAGGGGCGCGCGGAGCGGCGCGGCGCGTCGCCCTCGGCTGCTCTCGCCGCATCGCCACGAAGCACCACTTTCTGCTCACGCTCACGACGACAGCGGCGTCCTGGCGTCCTGGTCTTGGTCGGGGTGCTCCGCCGGCCGGACTGCGGCACTAGTCGACGCCTCTAGTCGACCCGGCCGGCGTGGCGGGGCGGGG